CTCACTCACTCACTCACTCACTCACTCACTCACTCACTCACTCACTCACTCACTCCAAAACAAATTACACACGTGTCATTTATATTTTGTCAGTCCCGTCAGCATCTAAGGGTCGCCTTGTTTTCGAACACAATACCCACATGTGCCCACAGGCATACACAACGGCGTCTGTTGTGTAGTAGCTATCGCGTATGGAAGCCCTGAATTCTATTCTTGTGTTGGGAAAATTTCTTTTTTTTTAAATATAAATGAAATATCTCCGTCTTTCTGCTGGGATATTGTATCTCTCTCAACTGGGATTGGCCCCTTACAGGCAGGGTCGAAGGACGCCTCCTTAATGATCTAAATTATGTCGATAGGGGCATGATTCATATACATCATTTTTAAAATAAATAAATACAGCAGATTTGCACGTCCAAGCACGCGATATATCCCATCTCCTACAATTCACACGAGCACAATTATCATTCAGTGGGTGGTTGGCGGGCGCTCTGGTGTGGTTTGCTCCTTCGTTCCTTTCAAACATCTAACGTCATTACCTCTCCTCTTTCCTGTCTTTGTATGTCACTCTCTTGTAATACATGTATTTCCAGTCTTCCACTCTTAGACCTAAGTGTGTTGTCGTTAAACTCATCATCATCATCATCATCATCATCATCATCATCATCATCATCATCATCATCATCATCATCATCACCATCATCATCAAGTGCCAGATCTGCGGCAGACATCGACGATCATGGTTTTCCATTCGTTCCTTTGCTCGGATGCTCTTTAAAAAGGTTTAAAACTCTTACTAAAATTAAAACTAGTCGTGTGCATGTAGGTCTGTTCAAACAAACAGACATACGTAGCCATCCAAACCATGTTTCCTCCCATGTCTTAGGATGATCATGATGACGCAAGTCGTGTTGCGCTTTTCTTGTGCCTTTTAGCACCCCTCTGGGGATGTCTCTAGCTGTGTGCGGCGCTCTTCAAAGCTTTGATCTGTTCCCCAGGCTGTCATCATTTCTGTTGTTTTCTTCCTTTTTGTCCACCCACGCTGCTACTCTCAAAGCCAGTCGTCTCATTTCTTCCCTAATGATTCTTCTTCTTCTTCTTTTTCTTCTTCTTCTTCTTTTTCTTCTTCTTCTTCTTCTTCTTCTTC